GACGAACAGTCGAGGGAAAAAAATCGGCCGGTAAATAGTGTGGTCCATACGGGTGAATAGTGATATCCATACGGTTGAATAGTGACGTCCGTACGGTGAATAGTATTTTCGAGTTTTTGGATTTTTCGATTCGGTCCATGGATCCATGTGATTTTGGGCTTTGTTTGTTGGATATTTGTTATTATAAATATGTATATCTTATATGCTTGGTGTGTGACAATCTTAGAGTTTTCACCAACAAGGGATACTAATTAGGGTTTAAAGGTATAACATAGGGTTTCAGTTGTTCACAAGGAAAACCTTAGAAAAACAAAGGTTTGAAATCTTTGGAGTTGTTTAAGGTTATTGTGAAACACTATTACACCTTGGTTTTGAGTGATTTATATATTGAGAGTTGGAGAGTTTAGGAAACACTTGGATAGAAAATATGGTTGTTCTTGGGAACCTGAAGGTAAAGACTATTTTCTTGTAACTCATCTATAATCTCTTGTAACAACTTTTTAAGTATAGTGAATTGGAGAGCTGCTCTCCCCCCTAGAGTAGATCGTTTGATCGAACTGGGTAAACAAACCTTCGATTTTTTCTTGTCTTATTTTGTTATATTATCATTATACGGATTATTATTGCTGGAGACCATTTATTTTGGTTGCTATTGTTCTTTGCCTCACAAATTGATATTGAATTTTGTCGTAATTCACAACAAGATTCAAAACAAGTGGTGCATGTTAGAACACAGATTGATTCTTAATAATAACTCTTTGTTTTGATGATAACTGTTAGGAAATTTATATTTAAGAATTATATACTCTAAAATTTGTTTGAGAGTTTTACTGCAGATTGAAATGAAATTAACTCTCTAGAAGGAAATTTGTATTGTATACAAGAAGCTATCCTGACTCTGAAGCGCCAGATGCATCTTACAGAAGAATCTGATTGCTCCTTACAGAAGATCCTGAGCGTAGTCTCCAGAAGGATCTGAAGCAAGAAGCTCCAGAACATTCTGAGTCAGAAGCATCTGAAGTTAATCAGAAGCATCTGAAGCTGAAGCATCTGAAGCAAAGAAGAATATTGTTTGAAGAGTTTCTCAAAGCATAAGTCTACAGAAGTTTTTGAAAGTACCAACGCTGCCAAGTACTGAAGTTCTGTGTCAAATATGCTCTGATGATCAACACGCTGAAAGCACACATGCTGCAGAAGACTCTGATACAACAAAGTTCTGAATATCATTAGAAGACTCTGATCCATTCAGACTCTGAAGAACTTGCTGAAAACTGAAGAAGTAATATTCAAGAATATATCCGTTGGAGGTATTCAACGTCTCTTTCCTCATTTGTGCTAGACACACTTACACAGACAAAAAGGATTTTTCTGTGTTATCTACTTCTAGGAAAGGTCACTTGATGTGAAGACAAAAAGGCTCAGACCTTTTTGGGACTCTCTTTTCAACGCTCAGCATCCTTGGATCAGCTGCCTATAAAAGGAGAACTTCACTACATTCTTCAGTTACACAATTTGCTGAAAAGAAATCATATTATTCTAAGCTCTCATTCTTTCATATTCTTCTTAGAATTTATTGTACTTAAACTTAAGAGAAAAATCACTGTTGTGATAAAAGCTTTATAGAAGCATTAATACTCTTGTATTTAATTTACATTGATTGTAAAGGCTTTTCCTTAAGAGGATTCAGTTGGAATCAGTAGCTCTTGAGAAGACTAAGAACAGTTGTTCTTAGGTGTTACTATTGTAATCAGTTTGATTTAATAGTGGATTAAGTCCTTGTTGAGAAAGGCAAATCACTCTAGGAAGGGTGGACTGGAGTAGTTGTTTAAACGAACCAGGATAAAAATAATTGTGTGATTATTTTTTAGTCTTAATCTTTCATACTTATTCAACCCCCCTTCTAAGTATTATCTCACCTTCAGTGCAGTGAGCGTGGAGCAAAGAGATATTGTTGACAAGTGAGTACCATGGTTAGTAGATGGAAGATCGAGAAATTTTTCGGTAACAACGACTTCGGGTTGTGGAAAATTAAGATGCAAGCAATTTTAATTCAAGCGAAGTGTATCGATACTTTTAAGAGTGAAACATTGATACCTGCAGGGCTTACACAGGTACAGAAGACCGAGATGGTGGATGAGGCCAGGAGTGGCATTATCTTGTACCTCGGGGATAAAGTTCTAAGAGAAGTCGTTAGGGAGCAAATTGCGGTTGCTATGTGGGTAAAACTTGAATCATTGTATATGACAAAGTCTTTGGCTTATAGGTTGTATCTGAAACAACAACTCTATTCATTCTGAATGATGGAGAACAAATTCATAGTTGAACAGCTCATAGAATTTTACAAGATTATCGATGATCTTGAGAATATTGAAGTGAATATTGATGATGAGGACAAGGCTTTGCTCATGTTGATTTCATTACCCAGATCCTTTGAGCACTTTAAGGATGCCCTTCTTTATGGTAAGGAAGGTATTATTACTTTGGATGAAGTCCAGACGGCAGTGAAATCCAAAGAATTTTCAAAGTTGAAAGCTTTGAAGATTGAAGATAGTGGTGAAGGCTTAAATGTGTCAAGAGGAGGAGGTGAGCGTAAAGGGATGTCCAAATCAAATAGGTCTGATAAGTCAAAGGTAAAATATTTTAATTGTCAGAAAATCGATCACTTTAAAAGGGATTGTCCTGAAAGAAAGGTCAATGAAAATTCTGCTCAAGTTGTAGTTGTATTGGGTGAGAAAAGTTATGAGGATGCCGAAGCACTAGTAGTATCGAGTTTGGAAACTGAAAATAGTTGAGTCATTGACTCAGGTTGCTTTTATCACATGTGTCTAAGAATATAATACTTTGAAATTTTGAAGATGGTACAAGGTGGAGTAGTTTACCTTGTTAATAATAAGGCATGCAAGGTTCATGGTATTTAAATGGTCAGGTTTAAAATGTTTAATGATCATGAACATCTTATTCACAGTGTGAGGTATGTTCTAGAACTGAAGTGAAATTTGTTATCTATAAGTATGTTTAATGATTTAGGCTATTATATTAGAGTTGAATGTGGAGTGTTGAAGATTTCGCGTGATGAATTAATTATTGCTAAAGGGTATAAAATATGTGGTCTATATATTTTAGAAGGTTCAAATGTTATTATTCATTCATCGTTAACTAGTGGAGGCTTTCATGACAAGGAAGAGCTATGGGATCTGAGTTTAAGGCGTTATGTATGCCTTGGGAAAGTTTCAGAGGAGTACAATGAATTTTGTAGAAATCAAGGGATAAAAATGCATGTTACCGCTGAGTTGTTATTGAGTTTTTGGGGAAGAGATGAGGTTAAAACAACTTACTTGATTGGTAGAGAATTTCTTCAGAAGAAGAATAGTGAAAATCAAGGGAGAAACTTGAGAGAAACTATAATGAAGAAAACTCAGTTTGAGGTGGAGTTTTCTACTATGGATGCTAGCAGTAGTGAGGGAACGATTACAAAGATCTCTGATTATCATTTTACTCATGATAAGGTAAGGAGGGTTATTGTAACATCTCAAAGGGATGATTATGCTAGCCTTGGATATTATGTTTTTAATGTGGCTGAAGGACTGCAAAATAAATGAAGAAAAACCTTCAGGGAGGCATTTGAAAATAGGTGGAGTCAAGGGTGGTTGAAAAATCATACTCGCAGGCTTGTTAAATTACCTAGGCAGAAAAGGGTAATTCAGAACAAGTAGATTCAAGTAGCGAGATCAAGATTTAAGGGTTGCTTGAATTTGATCAAAGTTATTGATTAAAGTTCAACTTGGTAGAAAGCAACAATGTTGTTGATTGTTAAATTGGTATCAACACGGCTTAAAGTCAAGGTGGAGATTGTCATAAATATTCCTTAAAACCTTTTTCGATGAAGAGAAAGAAAACATATTTTGGAGATTGCACACGTTGAAGTCGAGAAAAAAAATCGGTCGGTGAATAATGTTATCCACACGTTGAATAGTGACGTCCGTACGGTGAATAATGTTGTCTGTACGGTGAAAAGTGTTTTCGAGTTTTCGGATTTTTTCGATTCGGTCCATGGATCCATGTGACTTTGGGCTTTGTTTGTTGGACATTTTCTATTATAAATATGTATCTCTTATATGGTTGGTGTGTGACAATCTTAGAGTTTTCACCAACAAAGGAGACTAAGGGTTTAAAGGTATAACATAGAGTTTCAGTTATTCACAAGAAAAACCTTAGAAAAACAAAGGTTTAGGAAAATCTTTGGAGTTGTTTAAGGTTTGTATGAAACACTGTTACACCTTAGGTTTGAGTGATTCATATATTGCGAGTTAGAGAGGTTGAGAAACATTTGAGTAGAAAATATAGTTGTTCTTGAAAACTTGAAGGCGAAGATTATTTTCTTGTAACTCATCTATAATCTCTTGTAACAATTTTCGGATAGTTGTACGCGTCAATAAACAATAATATATTTAAATTAAATTTAAAATTAAAAACATTATTTTTGTTAATTCTCGTATCTTTTATAAAAAAAAAAAGCGTAAATTTAAACAAAAATAATTATTTATATTCACCTTATTCTTTGATGATTTGCAAGAAATTAAATAGTCTTAAAATAATTAACACTTTCAAATTTTCAAGTGTTATTAGCTCTATTCTTAAATACTTTGACTTAATTAATGTAACTATCACTCTCAATTTAATATCGTTTACTTTATATTTATGATAATAATAATAATGAATGCACACAAATTTCTAAATGTAATATATTAATAAGAATAATTATTTATTAGTATTTATTAATCAAATAAATTCATTCATTAGGCAAAGGGAGTAAGCAAAACTCAAATTGAGCCAATCACACGAATCCAAATTTGAGACAAATACCAACTTCCTTTAAAAGCCACAGTTTACACAATTGAATTTGAAACTCTCAATCATTCTTTCTTCCCATCTTTATTTTTTTCCCTTCACTTTTGGGTTCTTCATAAACCAAGCAAGCTAGCCCAAATTGCTTGGTAGCTATGTCGAACAAAAAACTATCTTCACCCTTAGGAGAAGCAAAGGTTCCATTAATATCACCAAATGAAGAAGACCAAGAACAAACTCTTACAAGGAAGGTTTTGATTGAATCAAAGAAACTATGGCATATAGTAGGTCCTGCAATTTTCAGCCGTATTGCATCCTATTCTATGTTGGTCATCACTCAAATCTTTGCTGGCCATCTCGGCGACCTCGAACTCGCTGCTATCTCCATCGCCAATAATGTTATTGTTGGCTTCGATTTTGGACTCTTGGTAAATTCACATAACACTATTCCATTTTAATATATACCCATTTTGTTATCTCTATATTCAATTTTGTTTATCATTTTTCAGCTGGGAATGGCGAGTGCATTAGAAACACTATGTGGACAAGCATTCGGAGCAAAACAATATCACATGTTAGGAGTATACATGCAACGATCTTGGATAGTATTATTCATTTGCTGTATTTTTCTATTACCGATATATCTTTTCGCAACACCGGTGTTACAAGTGTTGGGACAACCAGAGGATTTAGCGGTATTATCAGGAGAAGTTGCAATGTGGATGATACCGTTACATTTCGCATTTGCATTTCAGTTTCCTCTGAATAGGTTCTTACAGAGTCAGCTTAAAACCGCAGCTATAGCTTGGGTTTCTCTGATGGCACTTTTGGTTCATGTTTTAGTTAGCTGGTTGTTTGTGTATAAGTTTCAGCTTGGTGTGATTGGAACGGCTGCTACTTTGAATTTCTCTTGGTGGGCCCTTACGATTGGGCTTTATGTTTATACTGTTTATGGCGGTTGTCCTTTGACATGGAAAGGGTTTTCCATGGAAGCTTTTTCTGGACTTTGGGAATTTCTTAAACTCTCTGCTGCTTCTGGTGTTATGCTATGGTAATTATTTTGTTGTTTTTGGTTGTTTGGTTAATAGTAGATTCTATGTTTGATATGTTTTTGAAGTTTATGATTATTTTTATGTTTTTGTTGTCTTGTTTTTGTAGTTTGGAGAATTGGTATTATAGAATTCTGATATTGATGACTGGGAATCTACCTAACGCAGAGATTGCAGTAGATGCTTTGTCCATATGGTAAATTTATATTTATCATTATTTGTTTTTTTTATACGTTTCAAAATAATTATTGTTTTAGTTATGGTGGTTGTTTTTAAGAGTGTCTAAGACAGCTTTGAGCACATGACCTTATATATATATTTTTTATAATTAAACTATAAAAAAAAACTTTCATACACATATTTTATAGTTAATTTGTAGATAAATAGGATTTCTTGATAAAATTTTATAACACAACTGAAAATAAGATCATTTTAAAAAAGGATATAGTATTTTTTATAACAGATTTGTGATATAAATTTTCTTCGCTAGTAAATGCATTTCTCTTAGAATTATATGTCATCAATTTTTGTCCGGGTATGCTTATTTTAGAACTGATCCATAAATGTTTTTGGTCTGACAGTATGACAATAAATGGTTTGGAGATGATGATTCCTTTGGCATTCTTTGCTGCAACTGGGTAACATTTTTGTCTTATTTTAGTTTTAATTACATGCTATTCTAAATTTTGTAGTTCTTATTTTTATTTTATTTTATTTTTCTTTACTCATTTGAGTTTTCTTCATAAACAAAAAAATAAGACCTTATCAAACTCATGGCTATGATTAAAGCATGATGAGACCAAACATCTAGGATGACTAGCACATACCATACCCAATAATTGAAATTGTGGTGGTGATTGAGACATTTGGAGTTGGTGAAGAAAATACAAATAAAACACGAAATCTATAACCATGTATACACTAAAATTAAAAAATTCCTTAAAAAAAAACATAGTTAAACAAAAATTCTATATTATTTTATTGAAATATGAGTGGTTATCTATTGATATTGATTTGAACGCTCTAAACTTTGACTGCAAAATACTATTTAGATTCGCAGTGAACATAATTGATTTAGTAGAATTGAGTTGGTAAAATTGATTTTAATAGAATTGAGTTTAACTGAATTAATTTATATTTAGATACATTTATGTAAAAATGAATTAAATATTGAATTTCAGTATAAAAATTATCGGAAAGAAGTTACAAAATTTAATTTTAAATAGAATTAATTCTAAAAATAGAATCAATTCAACTTTTAATAAAATAAAAACCTCAAAATAATCCATAATCAATTTTACACCTCACCTCTATAATTAATTTTGAATCTTCTAAAAACCAAACCAAACATACTAACGACAAAAATTTCTTACGTGTTTGTATTCCCTATATTATTTATAAATCTTCATTATTTTCTTGGCAGTTTCTTATTATAAATATTTAGGCTACTTTTCATGACCGGGGTCTGGGACAAACCTTTAATATTATTGTATTATATTGGTATTTGGTGGATGTCACATTCCAAATGGTGCAGTTTTCATGTTAAGTGAATCATGTGTGAAGACTATGAACAAATGTTTGATGTGGTCACTAATTTTTCTACTTGACGGCCACGTCTATGTTTTGGGATGGTATAGCCATCAATAATTTTTATAAGTTGACATTCAATATTGATTTCCATTAAATGGTACCAGAATAAAGGCGACTAATTTCATAAGGATCATACATTTTTAATTAGAAAATGGGACAAGACTTATAATCTTTTAGTACTACCGACAGATGACAAAGAGACTAATAAATTATCTAGTTTATTCTAGAAGAGAATTTTAAATATATTTATAAATTAATTATCAGTATAGTTTTTTTAAATTAAAATTCTTAATAAATATTAATAATTTTTTATATTTATACATAAACATAAATAAATACTACAACTTAAAATCAAACCTTTTTTTACTCATAAAATTGAACCTTAATCAACAAATTATATTCATTTAATTCAATTAACAGATAAAATTATGCTATCCTTAATAAATATATCTAATAGAATATTTATTTTGTTGAATTCACGTTAGAAATTCGCTATATACTAGATGCTTAATTTTCTAAGCACATAATGTTACATTCAAAATTGTTTTGAGATGTGAATATCAGAGCCGGCCAAAAATAAGCTCTACCGTATATCTCAAATTTCAGCCTCAAATTTTAAAAAGTTTAATTTTTTAATATATATATATATATATATATATATATATATATATATATATATATATATATATATATATATATATATATATATATATATATATATATATATATATATATATATATATATATATATATATATATATATATATATATATACATATATATATATATATATATATATATATATATACATATATATATATATATATATATATATATATATATATATATATATATATATATATATATATATATATATATATATATATATATATATATATATATATATATATATATATATACTATAATAAAAATCTAATAAATTAGAAATATTAGAAGAATTTGTGTTAAACTAGTATATTATATTATAAATTTTTAAGAAACTTTAAAAATTTATACTAAATAAAATATAAATTTAAGAAATAATATAAACTTTATTTTTTATCATTTGATTTTTTTTTTTTGAGTTGTTGATTTATAAATATCAATAATTTGATCAAATTAATAAATAAATAAAAATAAATATTAACGCTAGAAATTAAATCTCCGAATAATGATATATATTCATTTAATCTAACTAATTCAGAACAATGATATATATATATTTATTTAACCGGACTAACACATGAGAGTGATATCAACTCAAGTTTTGGAGTTCTTCATTTGTCAAGGTGAAATATTGGTTGACATTCCTAGCAAATGTGTTTTGTGCAAGTTTTTGTGTTAGCAATTGTTTTCATGTATCTTTGATCTTAATTCGGTGAAAATAGTAGCAATAATGTGATTTACAATGAAATGATATGTTTATGCAGAGTGAGAGTTGCAAACGAGCTTGGAGCTGGAAATGGAAAAGGAGCAAAGTTTGCTACTATTGTAGCTGTGTTAACATCATTAACAATAGGACTTTTCTTCTGGATATTGATTTTGGCATTGCACAATAAATTTGGCTACATATTTTCTACTAGTAAACCTGTTCTTGATGAAGTAAGCAAGCTTTCTCTTCTATTAGCTTTCACTATTCTTCTCAACAGCATTCAGCCAGTTCTATCAGGTACTACATTCAACAAATTGCATTAAATCATATTTACGATTTTAAAATTAAATATTATGTTTATAATAATCTAACGTACATGATTGTTCGATAATGTTCAAAATAGGCGTGGCCGTTGGATCAGGATGGCAATCATATGTTGCATACATAAACTTGGGTTGTTATTATATTATTGGAGTCCCTCTTGGATTTTTAATGGGTTGGTACTTTAAGCAAGGAGTTATGGTATGTTTAAATTCTCTACTCTTTTTGAATATTGGTAATTAAAATTGTGAAGTTAGTAATTTGCTAGAATGTGAACTAATGCTTATGAAATTGAACAATCAGGGAATCTGGGCAGGGATGATATTTGGAGGAACAGCAACTCAGACATTAATATTGTGTTTGATTACACTTAGGTGTGATTGGGAGAAAGAGGTAATTATCCAATGTCTTTTTTTTATTTTTATCTTTTTGAATTTGGATAATTTAATTTAATTTTTGTTGTTTTGGTTAAAATTGCAGGCAGAGAAAGCAAAATTGCATATTACAAAGTGGTCAGATAAAAAACAAGAATTGGGCTAGTGTTTGTTTTGTTTAAGATATTTAGAAGAAGTTGAAAAATGTAATTGTTCATTACTTCTTTGAAGGGTTTGTCTCTGTAACCAAATTGGATAGCAATTAGTATTATTTATACTGGATTTTCAGTATATGAATATTTGTACTGGATTTTGTTGGCTGAAAGTATGTAGATACTATTGTTCATTTAAAAAGTAATTAATTAGATTTATTATAGTTTTTCTCATTCTGTTTGAATTTAGGACAGCTTGGTTTTTTTTTAAGGAGTTGGGCTCCCGACCTTATAATGATTTTAGGCTTATATAATGTCAGGCGTCTAATGAGAATGTACTTTGTCTGCTTTACACTAACATGAACTTTGTAATGATTAAAAATATTGTAGTTTTTTGAATTAGTTGCAACTGACTCTTATTTCTTTTTGTTCGCAACTCAGCTTTTCAGATTCTTCTTCTTTTCGTCTCACTGCTGAAAGCAACTTTCTTCTATCATTTGTATAAACGTTATAATAAAAAAAAATCTTTTTACTACGGCTGAAATGAGATACTATCATGGTTATGAATCGTGATAACGTAACGTGTGGTAATAAGAAAATTTAAACAAGTAAGGGAGAAACCTGAGAGAATTTATAACGGAGAAAATTCAGTTTTAGGTGGAGTTTTCTACTATAGATGCTAGCAGTAGTGAGAGAATGGTTACAGAGACCTCTAATTATCATTTGACTCATGATAAGATAAGGAGGGTTATTGTAGCATCTCAAAGGGACGATTATGCTAGCCTTGGATATTATGTTTTTAATGTGGCTGAAGGACTGCAAAGTAAAAGAAGAAAAACCTTCAAGGAGGCATTTGAAAATAGGTGGAGTCAAAGGTGGTTGAAAAATTATACTTGTAGGCTTGTTAAATTACCTAGGAAGAAAAGGGTAATTGGGAATGGAATACCCCAAATTCTTGGAATATTTATTTAGTTTATTTAAATATGAATATTCGCGTTTTTGGTGATTTTCGGTGGTTGGTGTGAATATTGGGAATTATGGATTTTGAGTTATTTATTTAAATAATAGTATATAATATGAATATATTGGTATTATTATTAATTTAAATAAATATAAGTGAATTAAGAGAAAAGTGGACATTTGAGGAGGAGTTAGTGAGGGTGAAGTTGGAAAGCCAATTTTAAGGCCCAAGGTTAGGTTTAACAAAAACGAATTTTGAGGGAATTATGATTCATTCTTGTTAGACCGTGAAAAGAGAAGAAATAGAGGGCAGAGCTCTAAAAAAGAGGACTGAGGAAAAAGCTTTGCAAGGTTTCCGAGAATCAAGGAGAAATGCTTAGAGTCGACAATTAAGGTATGGGGAGTATTGCCTTCATTGTTTTCAATATGTGATTCAATGTGTTTAAGGCTGATTAAAGGGTTTAAGGATTTTTTAGTATTGAACTGTTGTTGCCTTCTGATGGCGAGTTCAATGAGTTTGAGGGATTTGAACTGATGGTCTGATAGGTTTGAGGCTGATTTGAGAGTAAAGGAAATTAGGCCTTCGTGGCCAAAATCTATTTTGTTGAGGTTTTAACCGCAGAGGGTAAATAATTGTGAGAACCTTAATGACCATGGTGTAATTATAAGATATTATGGGAATTGAAGGCGTAAATATGATACGGGATTGGCCTAATAAGTCGTAGATTTTGTGTCTTTATCGCCATAATACCTTAGGAATGATTTAGGGATATTTTTGGGGCATTGGGGAAGGAAATCGTAGAGGCTTTTGGACTAGTTTTGGTGCTTGTGCGTAACAACAATTTGTTGTAATCGCGAGTTCCCACAGTGAAGAATGCTTCGCACGGCGAACATTCGCCCCAGACTCGCACTGCAAACTTACTAACGAGCGTAGCAGAGTTTCGCGAATTCTGATATTGTGCAGTGATGTCTTGATGTTTTGATGTTGTGATTCCTTTGATGAATTACCATGAGTATGACTATGATTACTATGTGATTAATACATGACTGTATGATGATTTCTATGAGTAATTGTGATGATTTATGATGTTGATTCCATGAGTTTTGATGATTATATGATGACATGATTATTATGATGATTTTGATGAATGATGATGCACCTAATGAGATTATTATGAGTATGATATTGACGTGTGCATCATGCATTCATATGCATTCGGACTTCGGTTCAGGACCTTGATTTTTGTGGCTTCAGTCTCATTGTGCGGATGTGGGGTATTTTTTTGTGCTCCGGTTCTCGTGTAGAATCGATCCTACTGTTGTGGATCTATGGAGGCTTAATGGCCGAGTGTCCATTGAATTTTGTTGATTGGTACCACATGCATGCGTCTTGTTGCATTTGCATTTATGTGACATTTTGATGTAATTTATAATGTTGTAGCCTTTAATGTTCCTTGATGATTATGATGATGTTGAATATGAAAATGACACCATTTTATATATTGATTCCAATATTGATTATTATGAATCGTTTTACTTACACTGCCTGTTAGAATGTTGCCTCCACGCGGGTAACGTGCAGATGACCAGGTTTAGCCGAGGATGCCATCGAGGACTTTTGAAGTTTTTGGGTCGTTGGTCATTGTGGTTGACTTAGAGGGTCTTGCTCTGATAGTGTAACATTAGGTTGGGGTCTTTGAGTCAAACTATATTTTATTGATTTTTTGTTATGTTGATTGCCTTGCGGTGCAAGGAAAACTTTAGATTTTGCCTTTTTGAGTTCCACTGCCTTTTGAGTAATATTTTGAGTAATTTTGGAAAAACCTGTTGTTTATAGAGCATTGACTATATTTGAATTATTGAGAAATGTGCGCCCTTTTGAGATGATTTTATTGCGTTCATATTTTACTCTGATAAATATGATTGATTTGCCTTAATATTTGTGGGGTAGAAAAGGGTGTTACATTAGTGGTATCAGAGCAGGTCGGTCCATCCGGCCAAGTTTTTATGTTGTTAATCCCCTATTAATCAAGTGTGAGAACACTGTTGGATGGGTTGTTTCTTCTAACCCTGTTGGTGGTTGCAGATGGCTGGAAGAAATGATCGTGCTATTGCTGATGCGCTGGAATCGCTTGCCCAAGTGATGGCCCAGAATGGTGGACCTCCAAATGAGTTTCGTGTAACACCCTTTTCTACCCCACAATTATTACGGCAAAATAACACAGATTTCAGAGTAAAATATTTGATTCAATAAAAATCCCCTCAAAAGGGCGTACATTTCTCAAATCCTCAAAATAGGTCAAGACTTTGTAAACAACGGGTTTTCCCAAAATACATCAAATTGCACAAAGCAGCGGAACTCAAAAGGCATAAATCAAGGTTTTCCTTATAAGGGAAGATAATCAAAATAAAATCAAAAGAAAACATAGCTCAACTCAAAGACCCCAACCCGATGTTACAATATCAGAGCAAGACCCTCTAGTTGACCAAAGGCTAACAACCTCGAAACCTCAAAACTCCTCAACGACATCCACAACTAAACCTGGTCATCTGCATGTTACCCACGTGGAGGTAACATTCAAATAGGCAGGGTGAGTAAAACGATTAATAATAATCAATGTATGAAAATCAACATATATAATGGCGTCATTATCATATTCAACACATTCATATTCATCAATAGGCCTCGAAGGCCACAATATCATAAATTATCCCAAATGACTCATAAATGCAAATGCAACATAGACTCAATGCATGTAGTACCAATCATCACAGCGCGATGGACACTGGGCCATCAACCCTCCATAGATCCCCATCAATAGGATCGATTCTACTAGAGAACCAGAGCACATCAAAATACTTCACATCCGCACAGTGGGATTGAAGCCAAAGTAATCGAGGTCCTGAACTGAAGTCCGGATGCATATGAATGCATGATACATACGTCACAAATCATCCTCATAATAACATCATAGGTGCATCATCATTCATCATATTCATCATCATTAAACGTCATAGCTCATCATCATAATCATCATCATACATCATGTCATCATAGCTCATCATAATAATCATCATCATACATCATGTCATCATAGCTCATCAGAATAATCATCATCATACATTATGTCGTCATAGTTCCTCATAACTATCATCGTCATACATCATGTCATCATAGTTTATAATAATAATCATCATCATACATCATGTTAATTCATCATATTATCACATATTACCCCCATAGGATTCATAAGTCACACTCATGTTAAATCATCATATTATCACATAAACTTCACAGTCCTACTCATGTTAATTCATCATATTATCACAGTTACCCTCATGGTAATTCATCATGAAAATCGCAGCATCAAAACATCAAGACATCACTGAACCAGAACATGATTCTTTAATAGAACATATACACAATTGACTTATCAAACATAATTAGATATAAAAATATTGGGAAACCAATTACCTTATCTATATTATGTTATAGCTCTATTCATTAGCTTTCCAACACTTCGAACGGGAGCCAAAAAGGACTTACAGATCAAACGTTACGTCCAAAACAATTTCGACCGAAAACATGAACAGTTGTGATGGACAGCAAAACATTGTTACGCTCCGGAACCTAAATCAACCCAAAAGTCCACACGATTCACTTCACTAATGCCCCCAAAACATCCCTAAATCATACCTACGGTCCTACAACGATAAAGGCACAAAACCTTCGGTTTATTAGGCCAATCCCGGTCATATTCATACCCTAAATCACAAATTTCCCTACAATTGCCCCAAGACATTAGAGTTACTCACTATCTAATATTCCTACAGGGTTAAGCAAAGTTCAATCAGCTTTTTAGCCACGAAGGCCTAGGTTTCCGTTTTCCCCAATTAATTCACGGTTAGATTTGCAATTACATGTTTAGGTCACGAAGGCCAAAGATCACTATTTCTCATCTCTACCTTTAAAATTCCTACGGTTACAATCTCCATAATAGATTTAGGCCACGAAGGCCAAAAATCTCTTTTTCTCATAATTCTCCATAAAACC